TCTCTTTTTTGAGTATGTGGGGTTCTGAAAAGAACTGGTGGTCAGTGGTAGTCAATGTTTTGGAAACTATGCTGTCCATCGTCAGAAGACTGCCTCACATTTATCAACCAATCAAAAGCTTTTGACAGATTTTTGCTTAAAATGGCAACACAATTTCCTAAATCGATTCACAATGGCTGGCTCACAAGTTTTTATAAAAATTACTCACACATATCAGGCATTGTTTGGAAGCTACAGCCCCCATTGAACAACGGACAGCACTCAGAGTAGTTTTCCAACAGGACATGACAATTTACTTTAACACAGAGGATAGAACACACTGGGCAAAAAGGCTGCTTCCCATCCTCTCTGGTCTTTTTTTTTTCCTTATTTGTACATTTACTTTACATGTTTGCATGAGTGCTCAGTCTAAGGGCAAGTGTTTTATTGCAGGAAAAACAAATACAATGCCTCCTCTTTTGTGTATGTTTGGTTTAAAACATGACTGCACAGGAATGAGCACATCAGTAAGCCATAAATCTTCAAGGTGGTTATGGGCCACCCCTGCCATCTCATTAGCGATGATGTCCTTCCCAAACCCTTAAATACAACCGTACATGTTCACGTACTTCAGGATGTACTTTGTGACCTGAAATACTGAAAGAATGAATCCAAGAAATATTCTTCAAAAGTTTGAAGTGTGAGGCTCAGCATCCTTTTCTGTTCCTTTCATTTTACACACAGTCTTAAGCACCCCATCTGCTTCCAGCAGCAACAAGAGAGGGCATTTTTCTATTCCTTTCATTTTACACACAGTCTTAAGCACCCCATCTGCTTCCAGCAGCAGCAAGAGAGGGCATTTTTCTATTCCTTTCATTTTACTCACAGTCTTAAGCACCCCATCTGCTTCCAGCAGCAGCAAGAGAGGGCATTTTTCTGTTCCTTTCATTTTACACACAGTCTTAAGCACCCCATCTGCTTCCAGCAGCAACAAGAGAGGGCATTTTTCTGTTCCTTTCATTTTACACAGTCTTAAGCACCCCATCTGCTTCCAGCAGCAACAAGAGAGGGCATTTTTCTGTTCCTTTCATTTTACACA